CGACACAAGACAGAGCACCGTCGAGATGCGTGAAAGCGCATCTGGGCGTGAGGCGTGAGGCGTGAGGCGCGAGGGGATGACTTTGCAGAAATCGCAACGTCGTGACAAGCATAAGCCAAAGAGATACGAGTAGAAAAGGGTGATGAAGGGGAAAGGGGGAGGGGGGCAAAGAGAAGCGTAAATTCTGGCCTTAGGAGAAAGAGGGAGGATGATCTTTTTTTGCCATTGTCTTCTTTTGTCTGTCATTCCCTCTTGCCGCCGCTTTCACCGCTCACGCTCTGCTCCTCTTTGTTCTCTTGCCCTCTTCTTCTTGCTCCTGCTGTTGCCTATCCATATTCAACATCCCATCCCCATCCACCTGCATCTCGTTTCCCTCTGCTCGCTTTTCCTCAGCAGTCGAAGCAGCAGCAGACGAGCCAAGAGGGGCAAGACCACCCGTCGTCGTCGTCGTCGTCGAAAGGTGATTCTCCACATCGTCCAATTCGTCCACTTTCCCTTTGGGCACACCAAGAGGTACCGTAGGTACATTTGGAGCTCTAGCCCCTCCTCCTACAGCTGCTGTAGCAACACCCGTACCGGTACCGGTACCCGCACCTGCACTCGTAGTGGCGCCGACGATCGAGTTGGCAGAATGACCAGTCGTACTCGCAAAGTCTCCGTTCGACCTTTGCGTCGCATGCTCATTGCCATTGGAGCTCGTGCCGATCAGATCGTCGTCCATGCGCGTCGACTTTGCGCTCGTATTCGCTCCGGCATCCTTAGCTGCCAATTTACCAGCAGCCATGTCTTTCGCGTGCGCCTGCTGTGCTTCGGGATGCTCCACGGGCGTCGATTCGACCAAGGAGGAACTTGGATTAGACACGCTCGTACTCGCGCTACCGATCGCACCGGGTGTTCCCGGTGCGCCAGTCCCTCTGCCTTGAGCTTGAGCAAGCCTTTGCGCATCTGACGTCGTTCTGTCCGCTCCTGCCAATTCAGCTCCCGGTCCTCCTACGCCTGCGCCTGCTCCATGCAACCCAAAACCACGCTTTGCAGCTACATTGCCATCTTCATTTTCATTCCCATTTGCAGCTCCTTCAAGTCCAAGGCCCAGTCCCAAACCCAAGTCCAAGCCCATCGCTTCGTCCGCATTTGTGCTCGCACCAACAGCTTCGAAAGCGTTGGGATGAGAAGAGGAGGTCAGGTTGAGATCTAGATCCAATTGAGAGCTGGAAGGCTGTGGGGCTTCTTCGGAGGAGGGTCGGATCAGAAAAGGAATGGGAGAAAAGATTGGGTTGCTTAGAGGTGCGAGCGTATCGTAAGAGCCAACTGATGAGGGGGTCGATGTGGATCCAGTTTCTGAAAAGATGGATCCTTCTCTCGCATATGTCCCACCAACCATTCCGCTTCCGCTTCCGCTCCCGTTCGCGTCCGTGCTTGGGACATTTGCAGAATGAGTGCTTTCGATGTCGAGGAAGGATGCGTGAGATGCGGTGACTGAGAGTACGCGCTTGAGACTCGAAAGGTATTTGCTGACTGTCCGTGCATGCTCGTTGGGCTTCAACATGAGCTCGGCTAGACGTTGAATCGTAAAGGGCGCTTCGCTGTTGAGCGTGAAGAGGACATCGCATGTACGCATTCATGCGTGATCAGCATCGGCCAGCGCGAGTTCAGCGCTTCGAAGCGACCTTCGGACTCGACTCACTCGAAAGCTTCTATCCTTGCGCAAACATCTTGCACTTCATCCTCCAACGCTTGACCTTCCAAGTGCAAGCCCCACGTTCCATACCATGGCTTGCTCAGCGGAGCTCTGGTCTTGCTGGGGTAAAAGTTGGACAAATCGGCGGGGAGAACGACATCATCATCGTCATCCGTTGTTGTTGCTGCAGATGCGGATGCGGATGCGGATGCGGATGGTTGATGCACACTTTGCAAGGTGGAAGCAGATTCAGCATCGGACAGGGTGTTGATGGGCGGGCGCTCGAGATGATCGCCATTGGGTTGAGATGTTTGGCCCTGCATCCGCTGCTGCTGCTGCATCTGTTGCACCTGCACCGCATCCAACGACGCTACACTTCTAGCAGCTCTATGGATCTCTCTTCCCCTCTCGAACCTCGTATCCCACTGCTCCACCACGCATCTCAAATGTGCAATCATCGCGCTCTTCATCTCTTTCCAGTCCAAGTCTTCGGGCAGCTGGTCGGTGCTGGAGATTTGTTGAAGCGCTTGTTGGTGAGTGGGTGAGAGCGATAGGAGCGCAGTTGATGAGCTAGACGAGGGGATGCCGAGTGCGTTGGCTTGTGCGCTGGATGAGACCATACCCACGCTTGAGCCTGAGCCTGAGCCTGAGCCTGAGCTGGAAGCTTGCGCTGCAGCTGGACTGGTCGAGCTGGACATGCTGAGCAGATCGACTTTCTATATGCTACGTACGTGTGGGTGAAGTGGAGAGCGTGAGTGAGCGAGTTGATGATGGTCAGCTAGCTGCGTTCGAGTACGGCATCATCACCAGCAGCATCTCGATCGCATCGCAATCGTGAATCGCAATCGCGAATCAAGAATGTGAATGTGAATCACGTGAATGGATCAGAACATCGAGCGATCGCGTGACCCTTGTGAGCGTGGACTTGCCTGCCTGCGAATCAAGAATTGAATCTGGAGTTACAGTGTGAGTGGGACGCGCAAGCATGCTGCCACGCATGCGAGTCCCCGAGTCCGCGTTCAGAGAAGATGGCATGGGCAGGCAGGCAGTGATGATGATGATGGTGATGTTGCGTGCACACACACACCCGCGCACCTCCACTCACACTCACACTCACACTCACACTCACACTCACACTCACACTCACACTCACACTCACACTCACACTCACCACCAACTCGCGCATCTCTCACGTCCACGTATATTCCGCAATCCCCGTGTTGGCTTTGCTCTCTTTCCCTTTCCGTCCGAGTCTTGCGCTCAACTGTGAGCCCAGCTGCGTAGCATCGAGAGCGCTCAGATCATCATAATACCCACCCCACCGCCTGCTTGGTGCTGTGCTCCATCATGGACCATCAATCCGCCGCTTCGGGCTCTGCTAGCGGTTCATTGTTCAAGAAGCGCAAACCACGAGGTGCAGCTGGGGCAGGTAGTAGTAGCGCCAGCGCCAGCGCCATCTTCCCTTCCACTGCGGGCAGCAAGGATCAATCAAACCTCACATCCCTACGCTCTACCACCGCAAGCGCAGAGGAAGCGGATGGAGCTCAGAAGGAGGAGGAGGAGGAGAAGGAAGAAGAAGAAGAAGAAGAAGAGAGCGGATCGGCAGTTCGACGAGCGGCGAGAGGTCGAGCGTCAGGAAAGTCGGCCCTGCTTCCACCTTCAGCATCTCGTACTGATTCTGCACGGCGCTTCGATGGTGCGCGCGAGAGGAAGCGTGTTGGTCCATCGCTCAGTGCGCTTGGCGCTGAGCGTGGGACAGGGATGAAGAGGAGCATGGCGGTGGGGATGGACTCTGATGCGACGACGATTCGAAGGGAGAGTCAGACTTCATATGGACCTGAAATGATGGCGAGCTTGAAAGCTGCCACGCCCCGCGCTCCCATCAGCTCTGGTCAGATGCTCGACCAGGCGGATGATGATGGGGCGGTGAAAAGTGCTGTGGAGGAAGGTGTGGGCCTATATGCAGAGCAGGAGATACCGAGCGCAGAGAGGATCGCCCAGCTCAAAGAAGCTCGTCGGAGAGCGGCCAGGAATGGCAACGGCAACGGCAGCGGCGCTGCTGCTTCTGGAAGTGGACATGACGCGGCTGCGACAGATTACATCTCGCTGGCGGATGATGCGGTCAAGATGAAAGGAGACAGAAGCGGAAGATTGCAGAGGGACTCGGATTCGGATGCGGATGAGCAGCAAGATGAAATGGGACCTGCATCTAGTCGGACTCGCGGTCACACGGATTTGGAGGTGGAGGAGGAGGAGGAGAAGTTCTTGATTGGGAAGAAGGAGAGGAGGGAAGAGGAGAGGCGAAAGAGGGAGACTAGAAGAGAGGCTGTCTTGAGGACGTATGCGAAGGAGAATGTTGCGACGCAAAGGGGCGGCGAAGAGGATCAGCTGGAGAGCGATGATGAGTGGGAAAAAGCTCAATTGAAGAGGATGGGATTGGGATTGGGTGATGAGAATGTAGAGAGGGGAAAGAAGAAGAATGAAAGAGTGAGTGCATGATTGCGTGCGATACGGGATCACCAAGCTAGATTGGCTGATCAGCCAACTTGTTCTTGCCCCTCCTTTTGCGCCATAGCCCTATAGGCCCGCGCCCATTCCCCAAGTCACACCTCTTCCCAAATGTGGCACGACCACCAGCACACTTGCATCGCGTCTACTCGCGCTCGAAGAAATGGAGACGTCGCACAGGAACGTCAAGGAGGAAGCTAATAGAGGACTGCAAGGATTGAAAGAGGAGGAAGAGGAGAGTAGAGGGAGCGTGAAAGAGGCCCATGAGAAATTGCAATTCTTCAAGACGCTCGAGGAATTTGTTATTGCACTGGCGGTGCTGTTCGAGGAGAAGGTGAGATGATGGAGGACGAAGATGTGCGCATCGTGCGGAGCTTGATCAGCCTAGAATTGATTGCTTACTGGGATCTTCTCACCGCGCTTACTGCACAGGACGAAGTGCTGGATCGGCTCGAGAGGCAGGGAGAAGATGCTTTGGTGCATAGAGCACAAAGAGCTAAGCAACAAACTTTGCAGCTGCTGTTCAATAACTTGGCCTTGTTTCACGGACCGCCCACAGCCTCTTTGGATGTTGGCATATCAGAGTCTAGCGATCAAGACGTCCACCCGATGGACTTGGAAACACCTGCACATGTGAGCGGAGGGAATGTGCTGGGCGCATCGGATCAAGAGGCGCAGCAAACGCTTCAAGAAGTCCAATCGAGCGTCAAAAATCTGCTTTCGGACGTACACTCCAGCGTGTTCAAGTACCCTTGCTCCATCGACCAGGCGGAAGCGCAAGGGGCACGCGACGATGAAGAGAGCGTGCACGGCCGATTCGAAAAGTGGAGAGGAGGGTATACGGAAGAGTATAATGTGGCTTGGGGAGGTCTGGCCCTTGCGGAGATTTGGAACTTTTGGAGCAGGATGGAAATGTGCGCTTGGGATCCTTTTGCATCTTCATCTTCATTAGCGCCTCCTTCCACCTCCACCTCGACGGAGCCGAAGTGGAAGGCAAGAAGGAACGTCACGGATCTGTCTGAATTTGCCTGGCATCGAAATTTGTCGAGCTTCGTGGAGAGATGGACGGATGAACCTGTGGGTGGTGATGAAGAAGCCATCGCTACGCTGCTGAGCAGCGTGCTGCTTGCGAAGCTCGTCAGACTGGTCAAGAGTGGAGCGATGAATGTTTGGGACAAGCACCAGACGGATAGACTACTGCACATCGTGGACCAAATGTCCTTTGTGCTGGATTGGAAAGGTGTTCAATTTCAAGTGAGCGTCTAGCGACTTGGACGTGCGGGATGCACATGCCGGCCTTTTGTGCGCGGTGGCTCACCGGGAAACTCTTCGTCAACCCCCCTCCTTTTCCCCCTTTCACCGTGCAGTCCTTCATCGGTCTGATCTTTGAGATGTGCAGAAGACAATTAGAGGTTTTTCAGGATGCCACTTTGTCATCCGTCGCGCCAATTCCTTATCCAAGCACCGGCGTGCCTTTTCAATCCCACCTCCGCTCCGGCGACGCTCCCGAATCCGCACAAGCACAGGCAAGACGCATGGTCCTAGAGAAGCTGTTGGATCTCTTGCACAACCTGCACAAATGGTCCCGCTTTGCGCTCCTGCAAGACAAGAAGCGAAACGATGCGTGCATTGCGCAAGTGCTGGGAGGATGCGCGTGGAATTGGATAAGAGCGTATGAGGGGGGCGCAGCGCAAAGCAAGGATCTTGTTGCTCGGGTGAGTGCCGCTAGACGTTGGTTTCGCTTCCAGGTGGAAATCCCCTGAGCTCGTAAACTCGTAGCGGCTGCAAGCTGCCATGGAGACGGGAGGGCGGAAAAAGTTTCGAGAGCACGTCCAAAAGACCTTTACCCCCCTCTCTCTCTCCTGACCAAAGTTTGCTGACCTTTTACTCTTTCCACTTCCCGTGCCCCCCC